CTCTCTCTCTCTCTCTCTCACACACACACACCCACACACCCACACCCACACACACACACAAACGAAAAAAAAATAGTGGCAGTGTATATTTCCATTTTCTCGGCCACGATTCATTCCTATTTTGCTCAGCCTATGGAAAAAGAGTGGCTACGTCAATGGATAGGCTGAGCAAAATCCGAATGAATCTTGGCCGAGAAAATGGAAATATACACTGCCACTTTTTTTTTTTGGATAGGCTGAGCAAAATCGGAATGAATCTTGGCCCAGAAAATGGAAATATACACTGCCACTTTTTTTTTCCATAGGCTGAGCAAAATGGGAATGAATCTTGGCCCAGAAAATGGAAATATACACTGCCATTTTTTTTTTTTTGGTTCGTGTATGTGTGTGTGAGATAGATAGATAGATAGATAGATAGATAGATAGATAGATAGATATCGTCACAAACAGAACTGCCCCATAAACCGTAGGCAAGAGAGAGAGAGAGAGAGAGAGAGAGAGAGAGAGAGAGAGAGAGAGAGAGAGAGAGAGAGAGAGAGAGAGCTCAACCAGGGCAAGGCTGTCAGGTTTGCCTATTGGTAGCAATAAGAAAATCCGAATCAGCGCTTGCGATTGTAACAATAGTGAATAGCAAAATAACTCATCACGGTGATAGGTAGCAAAAGACATGGCGAAAAATTCATCGAAAAAATGCATCCATTACATGAAATCAAAGTCAGGACCAGCGGGACGTCGAGCGAGTATGGAGGATGTGTGGGAGAGTAGGAGGAATAAAACCACAGACGAAGGAGGAGAAGAAGAAGAAGAAGAAGAAGAATAAGAAGAAGAAGAAGAAGAAGAAGAAGAAGAAGAGGAGGAGAAGGGGAAGAAGAGGAGGAGAGCCGGGAAAGAGAGGACCCAGTAGATTAAAAAAGATCGAACTCGAAATAACACGAAAAAGACATGGGGTAAAGAAGAAGAAGTTCCGTCACCAATGACGTATCCTTTGGAGCGCGTGATCGTAGGTGACGGCTGCTGTGTAGCTCTACCGGTTCCAGCCGCTCAGCAGTAGCGGACCTCGTCAGGAGCTTTGAGGAAGACTGTGTTCATAATGGTATAAATACAGAAAGTCGGGGAAGAAAATGAGGGGACGAGGCTTGACAGGAGGTGAAAAGGGGTAAAATTGAGCAGGGTTTTTTGAGAAAGAAAAAAGGAAAAGGAAAAAAGGAAACAATGAAGGTGGGAGGATTGATTTAAGGACGAGAGGCATCTGAGCAGGGTCGGCAGGGGTATCGCAGTAGGCAGGCGTGTTTTCTCCATGGCGGCGTCTCGTAGTCGTTGTGGCTCGACCTCCTGACATTGGCGGAAGCAATCGCTGTGCACAAGCAACAAGCGCTGGTACGATCTCCTCGATCGCTTCTGACATGATCCAGGTGTATTCTTCGTTCTTTATAAGAGTGGCTTTCCGGTCCGTTAGTGCCGCAGTTCCAGGAGAGAAGTACCCAGGTGTTTGCTAGATCAAAAACGTTGTTTCGCTAATTCAACCAGCCAGAGGTCGCGTGTTCAAGTTACAGGTACCTAAAAAATTTCCACAGTGGTAACCGGTTTGGATTGTAGAGGTCACCGGTTCAAGTCACAAGTACCTAAAAAATATGTTACAGAGGAGCCAGTTGTATATTACAAAGTCTGTATTTCGAGGTCCGGTGATCGGGCCCTCCAGCCTATCTAAGTGTCAATCTTACACATTTAACTCGTTTTAGAGAGAGAGAGAGAGAGAGAGAGAGACAGAGAGACAGAGAGAGAGGCAGCTGGAGTAGGCGAGAGAAAGCGCCAGCCGGAGCGGGAGTGGGCGGCGATGAGAGAGAGAGAGAGAGAGAGAGAGAGAGAGGCAGCTGGAGTAGGCGGGCAGTAGAGAAAGCGCCAGCCGGAGCGGGAGTGGGCGGCGATGAGAGAGAGAGAGAGGATTGGAGAGATAGAGAGAAGATTAGCATGTCCAAAAAAACAAAGGTGCGAATGTATCTGATGTAGACAATGGACCAGATACACAGAGAGAGGATTGGAAAGATAGAGAGAAGATTAGCATGTCCAAAAAAACAAAGGTGTGAATGTATCTGATGTAGACAATGGACCAGATACATTCGCATTTTGGTGGGCCGAGCAGCTGACACACAGACACAGAGAGAGAGAGAGAGAGAGAGAGAGAGAGAGAGAGAGAGAGAGAGAGAGAGAAAGAGAGAGTGGGGCGGGTGTTAATGGGGCTCGGTCGGCAGCTTTTCCTGCCCGAGCCCATTCCCGACAGAATGCCAAAACGGGAAAAAAAAAAGGAAAACAAAAGGGCAGCTTTTCCTCCTGTTTTCGCCCATTATCGAACCGGTAGGCCGTCTAACGCTCACTTCACTGTTTTTCCTGTTGTTTCGAACTGCTCACGGCCCAATCTTGCAGTGGACTGTTATATCTGCGAATTATGAACTGTGCAGCGGTCACAGGCGCAGTTTTTTCGGAAAAAAAAAACGTTATTTTACTTATTTTGTGAGGTGGAGCCGGGGCTTTGCCCCTACTTCTCTATGCAAGGTGCAGGCCCTCATGGCCTATCAAGAAAGACATTCTCAGGTGGGGAGTTTGGCTGGGGAGGCACATCTGTTAAAAAAACAAAAAAACAATCAATCAATAGCATTGATTGATTGGGTGTGTGGGTGGGAGAGGGGGGGGGGCGTGGGGGGGCACAGAGAGAGAGAGAGAGAGAGAGAGAGAGAGAGAGAGAGAGAGAGAGAGAGAGAGAGAGAGAGAGAGAGAGAGAGAGTCTGCTCCTCTCTCCTACCCCTACTCTGTGAAATGACTTCAAGGTGTAGAATAAGTAGGAGGCTTACGGCGCATACCACTACTTTTGGCTTCTGCTCCACCTACTGTAACAGATCCAGCAGCTGCTACTGCCGCTGCAGCTGCACCTTCAGCCTGCGGGAAGTACTGCAGCTGCAGCAGCAGGTGCTTGTGGAGAAGGATACCTCTTTCGTCTTTTTGTTTGTGTGTGCGTAGCCCGCACTGCCCGCACCGGGGGCGCTAAGCTAATCCACGTTATAGCGGCAGAAAAGGGAAAAGACACAAAAAAGACAAACCAAAAAGACAAACATCCAGTGTGCCCTGGAGCCCTCCCCAATTAATGGCTATCCTACCATTACCCTGAGTTCTTATCTGTCTGAGATCCCCAGTTTTCTCTTTTTTTTTTTTTTTGAAACAACGGCGGACGCGTCATGTTTTGAGTTCCTAAAGGCACAAAAAACAGGCCTTCGGCGACTGTATCGAACTCCGCCCTGACACTACTGCCGGCCTTGAGTTACGAAGGCCTTTTCCAACTCAGGCCCTGACACAGACGCCGAAGGCTGTTTTTTGTGCCCATTACAAACTCCCACGTGACATAAACATACTTCCCCCTTTTTGTTTTTTTTGAAACATCTGTGGGAGACCTATTGGTGGAGGTGATAGGAGCACCTCCCACGAATTGGGCCCCGAAAGAAGATGGCTCCAATCTATTGGTTGGGATTTGCGCCTGCTGGAAACCGGGTCCAGCATCCCAATTACAAGACAAGAGGAAATTATGAGCCAGTTGTGAGCAGTAGTCTCTGATGGGCAGCATTGATTGCCCTCTCACCAGGGGATTAACTGCCCGTCACAACCCTAGGATGAGTGCACAGCAAAGCTGCCGCCCTTAACCCACTGAGACATCCCCAGTTTCCCTGTGGATTTTCAAGGCTTTTGACCGAATTACTTATACCCTATTGAAAGGTACCCCCCCACCCCCCTCCTAAATATAACACACTATAGACAAGTAGCCTCCTAACCATGGTACACAATTCCAAGCCCCACCCATGCTGTCCTCCTACTGCTCATCATCCTCTTGATGGTCTGCTTCCTACTGCGGGCAGGCTCAGAGTCTCTGGAGCAATGGCCCAAACTGGAGCTGACCAGGTTGTTCCCCTCGTACCACCAGAGCCTTACAGGTCTCCCAGCGTGCCCAGAGCCGAGTCCCTCA